ATATGTATATATATGTATACGGCTCAGTGATTCAGCTGTTAGCACAATTCCCTCACAGCAAGAAGGTTCTGGGTTCAATCCCCGGTTGGACCTGGGTCTTTCTGTGTGGAATTTGCATGTTCTTCTCGTGTTTGCGTGGGTTTTCTCTGCGTACTCCAGTTTCATCTCACAGACCAAAAACATGCATGTTAACTGCCTTCAGGCCCAGGCCTCCCTTGCAAAAGAGATCTGTGATATCAATGGGATTTGCCTGGTTAAATAAAGGTTAAATAATTAAAAATAACCTATCAATTCAAAAAAACAAGCTATGGAGAAACAGATTGCTAGCAGCAGGCATTATTAGACCATTTTCTTCTTCCCTATGTGCATTTTTTGTGTTGTGGATTTGTATAGCAGAACTTAAAACTAACCTTTTTTTTTAATTTAAAGAAACAACTTTAAAAGTATCCACCCATTAGATCATATTGAAATGCTTGGAGAAATAAGTAGAAAAACTGACTCATAAGAAAACATTAGCTAAGATGCTGAGATTTTATCTAATGACAGTACATGCCATATCCAGGACTCTTACATTAAAGTGAGTTTTGTGTAAAATGATTCATGTAATGAATTATGGGTGTGAAACATAAAAGGCTTGCAAAAGGTTTAATGATGCCAGTCATGATGTGTCCTGCTGTTAAAAACTTCAGTTTGTAGAAACCATTAAAGCCTCAGGCCTTCAAGTTTTATGTAAATATATAATTATATTAATTGGCCCTGACAAACACCTCATGCCAGACTGCTCTCTGGATGATTGCACATAGCTAGAATGAGGTGAAACTCAGTGTGAAGACAAGGTTCGGCATGCAAAATTAAAGCAAAGCTGATTTGTCATAAAACAAAGGTTACTGGGAGTTTAACTAGCACACACACTCATGTACATTTATACACAACATGGGGCTTATTTAGAACAGGCAGACAAATAATATTGTCCCTTCATGCATTCACATCTTACCACCTCTTTTCCCTCTGTTTGTCTTTCTGCCTCCCCAAATAATTTATTGCCACTTATCCATTTACTCACCTGTTATTTCCATTTTTATTCTTTCAGTCTTCTTCTGTTTTTAATTTATTTTGCCCTCTCAGCCTAATCCTAAGATACCCAATTTACAGAAAATTGTTCTTCTAATTTGAACACTTTAATCATTGTGAAGACTTCATGAGATTTTGAATACATTAATGGTTTAAAATAAAACAACCCTCCTCATCATCATTAGGCTAAATAGATTCAAGATTTCATATTTTACATGTGCTCAGTTAAAACTGTTAGACAGCCTTAAACTCTGTTGCTGACAGAATCTGATTCTTTCTACCAGATTTTAGTGAACAACTTTTGTGTTGGTATAATTTTCATATGGAGAATTCAATAAACAATGAGTATTATATCCCCACCATCTGATACTCAGATGGTGGGGATATAATATCAGTATCTGAGTGCTGAAAAATCAATTTTGTCATATTGATCCATCTTTTCCTATAATCAAGGTGAAATTAATTAGCAAAATATATTAATATGGGGTAGTACACAGTCAGCAGGAGATTGAATAGTTAATTTGCACTATATTGTGTCTGTTGTTGAATTGCCAAATCATCAGTCTAGACTGTAAACTTAAGGCATATCTAGTCAATGTGGGATTCTAGCTCTTCCTGCAGGTTCCTGAGTCCAGGGTGGCACCATCAAGCAGTAGCTGGGGATCATTCCACTAACAAGCTCCAGGACTATAAAGAGGATGCAGACGAGCTCCTTTCCCTGCTGGAGCATTACTTGCCTATTTGTGCTATTGGCCTCCTTGTGTTAAATCTCATATTTAAGTAATATTTACCTTGCGTTTTCCTTGCGTTCTTATAGAACCTGTTTCCTGAGCCTCCAGTCCTGGGTTCCTTGTTACCTTCCGCAAAGCTCAACTCCTGTACATACCTGTGACTTCCACACCTCCTTATGGATCTCTTTCAGCTGCTCTGCTGCCATCCAACCACTTGCTTTCATGCTCCACCAGCGCTCCTCAAACCAGGATCTGACTTACCTAGAATCATCTGCCCTCCTCTCAACCATACAACTCACCTACCTGCCTGTAAGAGATCAAAAGACCTTCGTGTTCTTACGTGTTTCTTAGTATTTATGTGAGTACAGCTGCCACGTCAGGTCATTTATTTTGTGTTTATTAAAAATATTTCTTCATTGAACCACCTAGTTTCTGAGTCCTGCCTGCATCATTGGGTTCTGCCTCCAAAACATTCATTTACAACATTAATAATGTAAAATAATATGGTGTATTAAACAGCAGCCTGAACATGAGTCTGTAGTGAGTAGAAGGGTATGAATACATCAGCGTAAAGGTAAGAAATCAGCATCATGGATAATCAGCAGCACAGATAAGTCCCATATCACCAATTAAAGTGGCATTACAGTGATTTATCTTTTTTCCACTTCTTTTTTACAGATATTTTCCTGGTTATGGATTCATGAATCCAACAGCTTCAGGGTAGAAGCTGTTCCTCAGTCTAGTGGTTCTAAACTTTATGCTCCTCAACCTCCTGCCTGAGGGGAGTGGGCAAAAAGTGTGTTTGCTGGTTGAGTGGGGTCCTTCATGATGCAACTGGCCCTCTTCTTGGATCTGGAGGAGTAGATGTCTGTGATGGTGGGGAGGCTGACTCCAACAGAATTCTGTGCAGCCTTCACCATTCTCTGCAAAGCTTTCCTTTCTGCAGCTGTGCAGCCCCTGTGCCACATGTTGATGCTGGAGCACAGAATGCTCTCCACTGCACACCTGAAGAAGGAGATTAGGACTGAGCTTCCCAGACCAGCTCGCCTCAGCCGCCTGAGGAAGTAGAGTCTCTGATCAGGCTGGTAGTGTTGTTGCCCCAGCTGAGGCAAGTGCACACCCAAGTACTTGTAGCTGGAGACCACTTCCATCGCAGATCCTCCGATGTTGGGGTTGAGGGTTGTTCCTTCTAAAATCCATGATCATCTCCTTTGTCTTCTTCACATTTATGTGGAGGTTGTTATTCCTGCAACAGCCATCCAGGTGTTCCATCTTCTGCTGTATCGTCTGCTAACTTTACAATATGACAGCCTGGATGGGTAGGTGCACAGTTATATGTGAGCAGAATGAACAGGAGGGGGCTCAACACACAGCCCTGAGGGGAGCCAGTGCTGAGGGTTATAGTGGATGATGAGAAGTTGTGAATTATCCCAGACTGCAGTCTGTTGGTTAAGAAATCCAGGACCCAGTTGCATAGGGAGGGGCTTAGTCCTATGTGAGTAGTTTGTCCATCAGGATCTGTGGAATCATGGTGCTGAAGGAAGACGTGAAGTCCACAAGGAGCATATGGACATAGGAGTCCTTCTGCTCCAGGTGAATGAGAGCAGAGTGGACCACAGAGGAGATGGCGTCCTCTGTTGTTCAATTCTTGTGGTATGCATACTGGTATGGGTTCTCGCTAATGTCGATGGTAGCTTTGATGTGGGCCATGACCTGTCTGTGGTGTGATTCTGAGCACCACTGTGGGCTGAGGGCAGTGAAAACAAATTTACACTGAAGATTCATGCAGACATTTTTCATGTTGATGTAATTCAATTTAAAAATCCATTTAAAACTCTCTGTGAAAAAAGTGCCGTACAGTTCACAGCAAATCTACTACAAAATGGCTGAAATAAAATTAAGGTGTTGTAATGGCCCATTGAAAGTCCAGACTCCAACCTGACTACAATGCTGAAGTGGGACATGAAGAGCGATTCAAAAACAAATGTCTGCAATCTTTAATGAATTGAATCAATGTTGTAAAAAAGAGTGTCTCAAAATGTCTTCATATCCACAAAAGGGCTGATATATTTCTACAGAAAATTACTATTTTAAGATTGGCTGCTGGGAGGCATGGTGCTTCAGATGGTAGAGCTGTTGCCTCTCAAAGAGAAGGTTGCCGGTCCGAATACCAGCCAGGGGCCTTTCTTTGCATGTTCTCTTGGTGCATGCGTGGGTTTTCTCCGGGTACTCCAGTTTCCTCCTTCAGACCAAAAACATGCATGTTAGGATGATTGTTAACTCTAAATTGTTCTTAGGTGAGAGTAAGAGAGTGAATGGTTGTTTGTCTCTGTGTCCCTGTGTTGAACAGGAGACTGGGCTCCTGCCTCCCTCACAGTGACTGCTGCATATGGGCACCAGTGACCCCCGTGACCCAAAAGGAAGAAGCTGGTAAAATATAATGGATGGATGAAGATTTGTTGCTAAAGGGGGTTATATAAACTATTGAATCATGGGGTGAACTTGGTTTTTCAAACAGATTTTCTATTCTGTCCTTGTTTTAGTTTTATAACTTGGTGAAATGTATTGTGTGCTTTTGTACATTTGAGGTTAGATTTGAATAACTGTTGAACCTGTTAAAGACTGGATCAAGTTTTACACCTTTTTGTTTTGAGACATACAACCCTAAAATCTGAAGAGGGTGTACTTTCTTTTTCATGTGACTGTACATCTTCAGATGTAAGACACCTTTGACTAAATATTAGGGAGTTTTAAAGGTTATGTGTGAGACAAATTGACAGCCAAATAAAATGCTCTTGAAAAAAAAGCACAGAATCATTTCATAAATGTAATTTCTGAAACTGCAGGGTACCACATGGTGTGTGTATTTGCTCCTGTGTACAAGTGTAGGAAAAAATGAATCAGAAACATTTTAACTAAAAGATAAAACACATGTGTTTCTCTGTCCAGTCGTATGTTTTAAGGACAGATGTCCTGCCAAGTCAGTTGCCTCTCTCCTGCTGTGGTGTAATGGGTTACACCCACTTTACTGCCTACAGGACCAGCAAAGCACCACATAAATGCAACCCTTAGAAAGTATACACAGCTCTGTCAAAGAGCCTCTTCCCAGTGAATGTTTGCAAGTCCTGAAATTTATTCCCAAGTAAGGTCATTAGAGGGGAAGTGAGGAAAGCCATATGGGCACAACTGCTGTTCAGTTCAGTCAATTTTAAAATAAAGATCCCCGAAGATACCCCCAAAAGACTTCTGTCACATGTTGGCACGAGGACATATGTAAGATGAACAGCAGCAATTTGATGGTGACACCTACAGAAAATGAAGTCATTGCATGTTTTCATTTTTGTTTTATTCATTTATTATTGGAAATAAACATTCATTCTGATGTGCATGAGGTCCGACATACTAATGACACGATTCATCTCTTTAAAAACTGGCTGATCTTTTGTTACATTTGATGAAAAATTATTTAAGCAAAGATCAACATAAAGTGGCTTATTTATGTTGCCCCAGGCATACTTCATGCTAAAATATGCAAAGCCACCTGTGATTTCTATGGCAGTCCCTTTATTTAGAAACAAAAGCAAGACAGTTATAAGTCGTTATAGCTCATGATGATAATTGTCCAAACAGTTCTTACTTTGAAAATATGTGTTATTATTATTCATCTCATTCCACAGATGACATAAAAGCTGAATTTATACTTAATTGACTTAACCCTTGTATTATGTTGAGAAAAAAATACGTTTATTATGTTGCGGGTCATTTTGACCCGCATTGTGTAAATCCACTCAAAACAGTCATAAAATGAAGTTAAACCAATAAGAACTTTATTTTAGATTATACAAATATTTAGAAGAGATGAGAAGTAGAGATATACACTTCCAACACTATATTAAAGAACTCCTGATTTCAATTTTTCCCTCTTCACGAACCCTTTTTTTTTTTGCATTTAACTTGCCGCATTTTCTCGGGTTTTTGACAGTCAACATTTTCAGCGTTCCCCACATGATGGACAGAATGTGACTATGTGCTTTTTGCAGATGTATTTCTTGCATCTCACACAAGAGGTAGTTGTTTTACTGTCATCTCGAGAGGGACAGACTTGGCATCTTTTGCGTTTCTTTGTACCTGTATCCAAAGGATCCATTGTGGGTTGGTCAGATGCCCTGCCCTGGACCTTTGCGATGACAGCAGCAGCTGCTGGGGATCTAGCTGGCCTGACCCGGTTCTGGATCTTTGGAGTGACGAGTGCTTTGCCTAGTTCTTCCAGGAAAAGTCGACGTCGGTACAGTTTGCTGGCATTCCACTGCTGGTTGATCTCAATCCACAGCACATAGGCATTGTAAGCAGACACATCCAAAATGTTGTAGAAAACCACCAAAGGCCAACGGGCAGTCTTGCGCTGACAACTATATGTTGCTGTGACTTTGTCAAGATTGTCAACTCCCCCTTTTGTGGAGTTGTAATCCAGAATCATTTGCGGTTTCATGTCCTCTCGTGTGCTCAGAGATGCGTCTTTGTGCATTGTGCTCATCACAAGAACATTCTTGTTTCTTTTTGGGCAGTAAGAAACAAGTGTTGTTTTCTCTGTGAAAGCAAATTTTGAGGAATGCAGAGGTCTTCCTTGCATCTTCAGAATCTCACTGGGAAGTTCTGGCTTATTTTTTCTGACTGTTCCCAACATAGTCAGCTTTCTCTTCTGAAGTTCATCTCCAAGACGGTAGGATGTAAAGAAGTTGTCACATGTAATGTTATGACCTTGCAGCCCTTCAGTCATCTCCAAAACCACACGCATTCCCTGATTCTTCTCAGGTCTTCCTCCAGGTGGCTTTCCAGTATATACTTGCAGGTTCCAAACATAACTGGATTTTGCATCACAGGCTGCCCACATTTTGATGCCATATTTCGCAGGCTTGTTTGGCATATACTGTCGGAATGGACAGCGTCCTCTGAATGGAACGAGGCGCTCATCGACAGTAACATGGGGGCCAGGATTATACAATAAAGGCAGGATTTCGACCCATTTATTCCAGACATCTCTGATTGCTGCAAGTTTGTCTCTCTCACGTCGATCAGCTCTGGTGTCACGGTTGTCAAATCGGATCACACGAGAGATCATGTGAAATGTCTCCAAAGACATTGTTGCTCGGAAGATTGGCCTTTCATTCTCTTCATTCCATAAACTTGCAGTTGCTTCACCCTTTGACCTGTATACGCCAGCTAACACCAGGATTCCAATGTAAGCATGCAAGTCAGTCGGATCCAGTGGCTTCCATTTCTCTTGAAAGACACGCTTCCCCTCCAAGTTGGTCATGTTGAGGATTATCTTCTCTATGGGTGGGGATATGAAGAGCTGAAATGCTGATTCAATATCATCAACTCTTGTGACAGCAAATCTTGTAGGACCAGGAATCATTTTGATGACATTACAAGATGACAATCTACCTTGGCTTTGGTGTGGTGATGTTGACCATTTTATTTTACCATCTTTAGATGTCCATGTCCCCTCTGTGGATGACGATTGTTGCATTTCTTGGTTTTCATCTGAAGAAGGGACACCTGCAGACTCGTCCTCTGAATCCTCCTCATCATGGGAAAATTGAAAATCTGGATCATCAATGGCATTGTCCTCTGGCTCTGAAGGATCCTCTGTCTCTGAAACCTCTTCCTCTACATCACTATCCCAGTTCATAAGCTGCGAAAAAGCTTCTTCAGCTGTAAATCGTCTGGAGCTCATTTTTGGTGTTTCTCCAAGAACGGGCATGGAAACAGTGACAAGGACAGGGGAGAGAAAGTCCCTCTTCCACACACACCTGGTTCTGAATGTTTATTCAGAGGCAATCAAAATGAAGTACATCAAAGACTTTTTTTTTGGATTTTTAACAGCTACTCTGTGTGCGGGTCAAAATGACCCGCAACATCATCTTTGTATACAAACTGTGTGCAGACATTTAACAACACATCAAAGAGTCCAGATTTTACATAGAAGTTCATGACCCTAGAGGAGAAAAAGTCACAACATTTCATGGAAAAAAAGAAAGGATAACCTGCACTTTGATCAACACAAAAATTGAAACGGGTCAAATTGACCCTTAACATAACACAAGGGTTAAGCTATTAGGAAGTCACTTTGATCATCTCTCAGGTTTGATCAATGGAAACATTGACATTTTATGGTTGACAGTGAAGAGGGAAACTGGTGGAGGTCAAAATGAAAAATATGATTTAAATGAAGGTAAAGAAACAAGATATTCATGAGCTAACAACAAATTCTGATCTGGATAGATAGTTAACTACCCACTTTTTTGTTGCTCCCATTTCTACAAATTGTCCCCTGCACTGGTTTATATCTGCACATGCTGCCTTTTTAGATAAAGACACTCCAAGGGGGCCAGGACTGCATGCTGTGACTGGAAGCTTAATTATGCCGTGTGGCAGACTGATAGAAGCAACCATAACCGACGGTCCCAGCCTCCAGAGAGTGTGTGTTTACCCTCGTCCAACCATCGAACATCAACAAAAGAAGCTCTTTTTAGGCATTTCTTGTTTTTGGAAAGTGGAGAAGATGAAGAAGGAAAAATAATTGATGAAAAGAGAAACAAAAAGTAAAACAAAGATGGACTCACCTCACTTAGCATGTTTTTACAGAAGCAAAATGGTTTAAAAAATCTTTTATCATTTTTTTTTCTTTTTCAGTTACTGGGGGCAGTGGTAGCTCAGCGTTCTGCGCCACTGTGTAGTAATCTTGAGGCTGCGGGTTTGAGCCCAGGATGCATCAGGAAGGGGATCCGGTGTAAAACAATTGCCAAATCACTCATTGTTCACTGACTGTGGTGGCCCCTGCAGATGGTAGCAGATGACAGAAAAACAAGTTATATTTTCAGTTTTTGCATTTACATAGTTCAATGGTCTTTTCAGCAACGCAAGATGGAGAAACTTCCCAGAAGGATGTATCCGTTTTTTTGACACTGCCTCACAAAAGATCTTTGTAGAAGCATCTTCTGCGGCAGGCAACATTGGACCGGATCACTTTACAAAAGGCAAAATAAAATTATCTGGCAAAGGAAAGCTGAGTTAAATTAATGTGGTGAGCTGTGCAAGTTCATAATGAAAACTATATGTTATCTGCCTTTATCTATCTTACAGTGATCCTGTAACCTGTATGCTAATTAATGCTAGTTTACGCCTCATTATGTTGATTTATAACAGGACTACAGGAGCGCTGTTGACTGCAGGAAAAAACGAGCTCCATTAAAGGACATGGCATTAGCATTACTCCCATGTGGTGTTCAGGATTGCTCTGAGAAGCTTTACTGAGGTGATATTTAAGAGATTTTATTATGAGTGTATCGTTCAAATTAAAAAAAAAAAAGTACCACTATAAAGACGAAAAATGTCCTTTTGTGTTATCCTGCCCATTATCTGCTAATTATCTTCACTTGGCATTACTGATGGCCATTTTCCAAACCATAACTTTGATTTCTTGCTTTCCACTCAACCATGAGTTCCTCTTAGTGCAATATATTAATCAGCTTGTAACGTGTTGAAGTTGGTTTGAGACACTTAATCATTCATGGCAAACAATTAGTCACATCATTTTTTTTAATCAGTCTAATTATCTGGTCAAAAAAACCTCTTATGGCTCAGTGAAAATTATATTTACAATTTTATAGTTGCTTTAAAGATAATGTACTGATTAGCTTTGCTAAAACAGCTAAAGGGGCTGCAGGCTCTGAACATGTTAATGACTTTTATGAGGTTAGAATAAAACTCTTTGGCTAGACATATTAGCAAGCTACTATACAATTTTACAAAGAAAAGCAGGACTATTGTTTATTATTATTATTATTATTATTATTAATAATAATAATAATAATAATAATAATAATAATTGTCTTTCTGTCTGCCTAACAAAAACAAGTTAAGCATTTTATGTTCTTATGAATGTACTGAGAAAAATATATGTCATAAAATAAAAAAGTAACAGCAACACCAGTAACGTGACAAAATTTTGATGATTTGTAAAGCCAGAACATCATATTTATTGGGCTAAACATTATTATTATAATTATTAATAAAACTTAATCTTGTCCTAAAATTTCTCATAGTTTCATTCAGATGGGGAACAGCTCGGGAGCCGAATTGAACAAACTTGTGTTAATAAGAAAAACTATTTCTAAAACGTACCAGGCAGGTTTTAAAATTAGTTGTTTTAGCAAAAGATGTTTTGTATGAACCCTTTTTGGTTTACATGGGCTCACTCATGCAACTGCAAGACAAACAGATATCTTGTGCAAACATTGATCTCTTTGATATCTTAGTATAGCTGTAACATTTGAACAATTTTCTACAAAGTAGTGCACCAGTTCTCCATTTTTACATGATCAAAAATAAATGAATAAATAAAAAATTAAAAATGTCTCAACATATGTGTACTGACAGGGCAACTGAGCTCAAGTTCTTCAGCTAATATTCGTAAAAGAGACAGAACCCAGAGCACTGCCTTTGAACATGACATCTCTTACAGCTGTTGTCTCATCCTGTGTCCAGAGCAATGTGTCAGTATTCTAGTCTTGGCCAGACCAGACTGAACATTTAAACTCTTGTTCACTGGAGAGTCCTTTTCTCTGTTCCCCTTTTAAAGAGAAGCCATTGATCTTTTTGTCCAAACAGACTTGCTATTGTTTTGAAATGACAGACTCTGGTAATATCTAATAAAACAAGGTATCAAAAAATTTGAACTGCTTTGTCAGATGTGCAAGAAAAGTATAGGGCAGAGCTATTCAACTAGTGGCCCGGGGGCCAAATCAGGTCCACAGATGAACTCAGTTCGGCCCACCAATGGTTTCATTTGAAATAAAACTAGATTTTAAACCATAGAACAAACTTACGTAATGACAAGAATTGCTGGATGTCCAGCCCCTGAGCTCTTGGCTTTCAGTAACTGTGCCCCCCTGAGCAATTTAGTTAAATAGCCCTGGTATAGGGTGAGGTTGGTTTCATATCAGTCTCAGAGTAAGGTGGTCCTTGATTTTAGTTTTGGTTATCCAGGACTTCAATTGTTTTTTTTAATGCATGAATGGGTTTTCTCCAGGTTCTTCGGATCCACCCCATAGACCAAAAACACATTTGGTTGATCTGTGATTCTAAATTAATATGAAATTGATGCTAATTGTTCATAGAAGTATATATATATGAACAATTTGTCAATGGTGTTGTTTTTTAAGTGCTTCATAAATCAAGTATTGTACTGTACATGCCAGCTAATTCAGGGACAAGATAAAACTAGAAAAAAAAAAGAAATTTTCTAGTTAATTTTTTTCCGTCATCGCACAAATTACATGCTAGTTGAATGGGATTGCAAATAAAGTTGACTTGTTATTCCACAAATACACAATCTTTATATCTCCTCTGTATAGCACCCTTTAGCTTAGTTGCTGAATCAGCTTTAATCATTTCATTCATACAAACTGTATACTGCAAAATAGGTAGAATTTTATGTTTTTTTTATGTCCAGCTGTAATACCTTGTTTTGCTTCCACCACAAAAACAATTTGCTGCTTCAGATAAAGGACATTTCAGACACTGCTAATAGCTACAGAAAAAGCATCAATCTTTGTTTGACTCCTAAAATCAAACCAGATGATTAAACCTCAAACCAACTCCCCTCTGCTGCCATCACCTACACAGGTCAGTCAGGATGCTGCTGATTGGATGCCTGCTTATTGCCAACCAAAAAATGTGGAGCTAACAGCCTCTTTTCTCCTCCCCCCTCTCAGCTTCATTTATTATAGATCACCTGCCCCCACCAGCACAGCTTCATTACTCCCTCATTTACAGCTTCTCTGGTTTGCTGACTCTTCTTTTTCCCTCAGAGCCTAACGGCCCTCCTGGTACCACTTTTTCAATCCCCATCAGTGTCCCGTTTCTCTTTATCTTTGTTCCCTTTTCTTCCTTAGCTCCTCTAATATTCTACATCCTCACTTTAACATCAAGAAATGCACCTTTTATTCAGGCTGCTTACAATGAACAAATGGTTTACTGTGGGATGACTGCATGGATTGCTTTTAAAGCGCTAGTGTCTTTCTTTTCTGGGTCATTGATTCAAGACATATAGAGCGCCAGTTTTGACCCATGTGACGACACGCAAATACTCAGGCAAGCACCATTTCTCTTTGTCTCCGTTGTTCATTGTTTATTCCATCCACAAGGATCTCCAAAACGGATCATCAAATCATCACGCTCGCCATCAAATCAGTAATTTCAAGATAAATATTCCTTGAAACAAGGGACCAGCAACTTTCTCCTCCCTTGTAAAACTGCAGGTGACCTGCACATGAAATTTCTCAACAAATAAAAAAGTGCAATCATTGAAATTTGATATTTGCAGCAAAGTTTCTCTTGTTTTTTTTTTTTTTTTTTTTGCTTTGTTTGTCTCTTACTGTGTTTAAGATTATGTTTAACTGCTTTATTTCCTAATAACTAGTTTAGCACTTGGGGAACAGGTCAAAAACAGCGAGAAACATACAATGAGCTGAAGTCAGACAAATTATTATCAGAATCAAACTCTTTCCAGGGCAAGACTGTCCTTGAGTGCAGATTTTCCTCTTTGTCCTTACAAGGTGTTTCTACATTTAACCACAATAAATCAATACAACACCTTAAAAAACAACATGTTGTTATTGATGCGTTTGTTTATTTGGTTTATTTTCTTGGTCTGGATGTAAATCAAATTGA